GGAATTCATTTGTTTAGTCAATTACCAAAATTTGGATGATTTTGAATATTCACTTGAAAAGTTATCAAAGAAAAACATTTTTCATTTTGTAACTTCGAGGGCCCGTAACTTGGTTACGAAGACTTTTAGGAAAAAAAGTTATATGAAGTACTGGTGATATTTTGACCCCATCTATACATTCCCGAGAGGAAAAGAGGAAGTCCAGGGACACCCTGTATAGTATACTGTTAGGTATTGGTCCATCATCGTTATTCATAATATTATTATGTTTACTTATTTCTCAACTCTCATAGGCATCTAGATGCCTGTTGTTGTTAATTTATCTATTTAATCTTAATGAACTGAAGTCTATGGAATGGTTTTGTTGCAAAATATGATGGGCGACTGCTGATTTTTCAGGTCTTCCATATTTTAAGTGTGCTAAGTGTTCCTTATATCTTATTTCAATAGATCCTTTTGTCTGTCCATAATATTTTGCATCGCAGTCCTTACATTTAATTTCGTAAATTCCAGACTTTTCCGAATTCTCGACTTTACCTTTTGGACTTTCTAAAAGGCTCTGTAGTGTATGACTTGTTTTGAAAACCCACCTTCATACCTAATTCCTTGAAAATCTTTCCAAAGTTCTTTGTGTATTGGTGGTATGGAACTGAGATATATTTATCTTGGCTTTTGTCGTTTTTGAAAGTCGAGATTTCGTTCATTCTTAACCTGAACATTCTTTTCCTTAGTATGTCATCTACAATACCCCTCGAGAAACCGTTAGTGGCTGCTATTTCCTGTATTGTACGTTTTTCTTTTGTGAACCTCCCATGTGAGACTAATAGATAAGGCAATATTGTGAAATTAATTTAAGACATTTCATCAGTTCGGACTTCCATTATCTAATATAATATAAATCGATTTGAAATCCCTGAAACAATGCCCAAAAGCAGAACGAGAACAGGACAAATATGAAGCCACCAACGTCATCAACATGAGTTCTCGCCCGCTCACGGACATAGAGGAATCTTTGTTTAGGAAAGGTCTAAACTTCGCCATTGCATCAACATCTGTGCCCACTTTAGAAATAACTGCAGTAGAATCCACCAGTTCCCTTATAGATCAGATCGAGGCAGAAGAATTCAGATGGAAAATCAGAGAACAGCTAGATCGAGAAGCAGTTCCAACTTCTAACGTCAGCAATGAAGAACGAAGAGCCTTGAACGGGCTTCGTAGAGACAACACCATCAAGATCTTACCTGCAGATAAGGGAAACGCTACTGTTGTGATGGATACTGATCTATACGAACAGAAGATCGAAGAGGTTCTTCAGAAAGGAAAATACACGAAGATCGTAAGAGACCCTACTGCATCAATTGAAAGGAAGTTGTACCAGACTTTGAGAAAACACCAAGTCTATTTTTCGGAAAAAGAGAGATTATCGCTAACACCGCATCACAGTAAGCCCCCTCACTTGTATGGACTACCCAAAATCCACAAAAAGGATGTTCCGCTCGGACCGATCATTAGCTCCAGAGATTCAGCCACTCAGAACTTGTCCAGATTTTTACTACCAATAATTAAACTACTGCAAGGTAAAACATCATTTTTTGTGAAAAATTCAAAGCATTTCGTTGAACTATTAGGGGAAATCGAAGTAAAAGAGCAGGATCAACTGATCAGTTTCGACGTGGAAAGCCTCTCCACAAACGTTCCTGTCGAAAAAGCACTTCAAATCATACAGAAGAAGCTATCTGAAGGTGGGGACCTGAAAGATAAAACAAACTTACCGATTCAAGTAATCATGGAATCACTAGGATGCTGTGTACGAAACTGCTACTTCCAACTGAAGGACGAATTATTTACGCAAGATGAGGGACTGCCAATGGGATCGCCACTTTCACCAGTTATAGCCAATATATGGCTATATGGCAATATATGTTGTCTAAGTATGCATTTAGTCAAGCTAGCGTAGAGATACGTAACATATGGAAACCTCTAATCAAACGAAAAACGACTAACTGCCGCCAAACGGTCATCTCCCGCTAAAAAACCAATGAAGCGAAGAGAGAGAAAAGAGGATAGGTGAAAGCACTCAAATGGCCTATAAATAGTCGGATCTCGGAGGAATAAGTCCAGTTATCACCCGAAGACGATTGTGGATACTAACAATCGAAACGTCGTGACATAACTTGGTTTGAAATCATTCAATTTTTATTTTTATTTTTCATTTTTGTTAATAATACCTAATTTTTAATTTTCAGCTTTTATTAATATTTCAATTTTTATTTTTTGGTTGTTGTTTGGTTTTATGTTATTTCTTTATAATTTCAGTTTTTTGTTCAAATAAAGTTGTTATTTTCGGTTAGTCTTTTTTAATATTTTTTCAGGAATTTCAAATCAATTTATATTATATTAGACAATTGAAGTCCGAAATGATGAAACACACCACGAAACATTGTCAACCACCTTCAAACAAATCATTTTTAGTTTCTCTGGAAGATCATTATATATTTTAACTCCTAAATGAAATATTGATTTCTCCCCAAATTTTGAGCGATATGATTTAACTAGTAGTTTTTTGCTTGTCTTGTATTATAATCATCGATGGTATTTAGTTGATTGAAATCCAAATTCGAATGTTTGCAATTTTTTCTAACAGAACGAATGAAACAACATATTTTCAATTGAAAATGGACTGAATATCTGAAAGATCACTTGGTATATATACATTTGAGGTAGGTTCAAGATATGGTAATTTGAAAATACATTTTATTATTTTATTTTGCAGTCTCTTGAGAGGATTATCATGTTATTGTAAACTTCTTTAGTATCACTAGAAAAATAAAGTAATGTTCCGAAACAGAATTCATGTAAATAAAAAATAAAATTGGACCCAAAATAGACCCTTATGGAATACCACAAGTGATAGTTTTCAATGAACTGGCATTTTTTCCGAGACACACAAACTGGTTTCTGTTAGATAAGTAATTTTCAAACCATCTATGAATACCTAATCCCTCGATTACCATTACTATTAAATTTTTTCAATAAAATATTATGATCAAGTGTGTCAAATGCCTTTCACAAATCGAGAGATAATAGACCACATTTCATATCTATATCTAATTGTTGTTGAATATTAAAAATAACATCTATTACTGCCGATTCAGTATCACTCGATCTGCAAAAACCATATTGACCATTGTATAAATAATTTATTGACTCTAAATAATCTATCAATCTATTATTCAGAACCTTCTCGATAATTTTTAAAAATACAGGAAGAACCGAAATGGGCCTATAATTATTCATATCACTTTTGCTACCGGATTTGAATATAGGAGAAACACATGCAATTTTACAGTTATTAGGAAAGATACTTGATTCAAAAAGATTCGATGACTGTTTCCTTCATAATTGGGGCCAATTCTGATGTCACATATTTAATGGTGTATACTGAAATCAGATCATATCCAGATTATTTATTTGTATCAAGGTTTGAAATAATATCTTCAATTTCTTCTTCATTTGTAGGTTTCAGGAACATTGACGAGGAAACATTAAATTCGAAAAATTCAGCCAAGACTGGAGATAAGACGAGCAGATAATTTTTCTGCAATACAGGTGAAATGATCACAAAATAGTTCGAATAGACAGGATCTTCTGTCTTTTTACCATCTTCAGTGATAATTGCTTCTACGATTTTAGAAGTTTGTTAATGAAAGTCCACATTGATTTGGGAGTTGCATTCTCAAATTATTTGTTGTAAAATTTTGTTTTGCATCTTTAACGGTTTTTTTTTAACTAACTTATTGTAGTAGTTATTCATTTCAATGTAATACTCGTTTTGTGGACTCTTTTTCTTCTTATAGTGAAATGTATCTCTTGCTTTTATCATTCCACTTATTTCTTCTGTGAACCATGGTTTTGAATCTTTAAAAACCTTGATCTTTTTCGAAAACAAACATTTTTTGAATATTTTCAGAGGATTGTCATGAAATTCATCAACACAATGTGGGTGTAATAGATAGTTCTGGAAAAATTATTCAGTTATATTTAAGTTTCTACAAATCAAATCAATGTACACTTTCAATTCTACACTTCACTTTCTTGCGATTTATGGGAATAATTTCAATAATTTGTAGATGGTGGTCACTTATATTCGAATTGATTATTGAAATACTGATACTCTGGGCAGAATTTGTTAAGATGTAATCTTGAAGTTTTTTTGTTTATCAGTTTCTCGATTGGAATCGTACTGTTACGTTTGATAACATTTTTTACACAACATAATTCACCAAGTTTCTTGACTGCAGAATTTTTCTTGAGGTTATCAATGTTGAAATCACCAAATGCAAAAACAGTGTTATTGTTCTCATTGAAATTTTGAAATTCAATATCCATAAAAGTCAGAAACTCATTTATTTTAGTTTTTTCATACCTATTAACTCCACAAATAGTAGTAATATTAGGTGATTTTAGTTTTATAGCAACAAATGATATATCCAAGTTCGACGTTTTTATTAGTTCATACTGCATATGATTCCTAATAAAAATTCCAACTCCACCTCCACGTTGCTTACGACACGAAAAATCTGCAGAAAAACCTAGGAAGTTGTAGTACTTCTTCTTCTTCTTTGATCCAAGCTTCAGTTATAATGACAATATCTGCTTTTATATCAGCTATGATTATTTCTAACTCTTGTATTTTGTTTTTTATGGATCGAGCATTGAGGAATAACATTGTTAAGTTTTTTTTTGAATCACATTTGTATTCAAAAAGTGAGTTAACTTTAGTGTTGTGATTCTAAAATTCAATTTTGAAAATTTATGTNACAAAATATAACAAACGAGCAAGTAAACTCCAAAATGCACGACTCTGTATTCACAATAGTTTTTAATGCAAACGTTTCGGCGATGACTCCCACCCTTTGTCAACTAAATGACGTTCAGATTTTTTATAAAACCTTGAAGAATTGTATTTTCAGTAGAATATGTAGAGTACACATTTCAAATTTATAAAAAATATAATCATTACTCTCCGTTATATCGTTGAAGAAGGCAAGAATAATCACCGATAATTGGAAATATAGAATAGTATAATTTTGAGTTCACTTGCTCGTGGAAATACTACCTATAATACCTTTGGCCTTGAGAAACTCTTTTACAACAAGCTATGTCGAAATTATAGTTTAACAATAACAATAAAAAAAATACTCACAACATGTTCCATTATCGTGTAATCTTTGGGGGCTTCCTTTTCACCCTCTTTGTGATGTTTGACAGATCTAACCCTAAGTTGTCCATGTTCTTTGAAAACCCACTGACTGATTGCAGTTGCAACATCTGCATTTCCTGATACAGGATTCGCATTTCCACCCTTGAAAACATACTTCATTAGTCAGTTAACAGAATTCATTTCATTATACTCACATGTGCATTTTGTACAGGAGAGGTAAAATAATCATCAGAGAAAAACAATAGTGAACCACTGAAGACGACTCTGGCATTATTTCTTGCTTGTAAACCAGCAATCAGAACGGTATCCTTTCCAACAGCGTGAGGGTACTGTTAACAGAAAAACATTAATGTTTAGTCAGTTTTCCATCAACACTATTCATTAATAAAAAAAATGAAGTTTTAAAAAGACTTTCATTAACCAGCTATCGACAACCTTCAAAAGTCAAAATTTGTACAAGCTGATAATTAATAAGGTTTTACATTTTAACAAATTTAGAATTTGTCAATTAGAATCATTACTGAAATTTCAAGAACACACCTTTCATACCTGATGCAGTGTGACACACTACATCATTGATGAGGGCCATCTAGGCAGAAACAAGTGTCTATGGTCAATTGCTTTCCTTTTGTACTATAAAACGTTTTCTTTAATATGAAAAAAGACACTCAATAAATAACCTTCATTTGTGTACAGTGTACAATAATATTTCATTTTACTCCACTATTAAGTTTCAACGCTGAGGTATGGAATTCTGGGATACAAATAATGAAAGAAGGTTCTTTCATAGTTAGTGAAAGAAGATATAAGGTGAATGTACTGCTTTGAAATCATGTTCACAATACCTCAAAAGAAAAATTTATAGCTATTTTCCGAGTTTATTCTCATTTTCAAGTATGTACTCAGTAGAAGTGGTATAGATATAAGAAATCAATATAAGATTGTATAAATGTTAAATAACGTAAAATTGTGAAGATAAATTAAATTGAAATAAGAGTTTATCCAATAATGTTAAGGGTATGTCCAAAAACTGCAACTAATGACGAAAACATTGTGAAAGTTCACCAAATGGTGCTAGACGACCGCCTAGTTAATGTGAGACGGATAGCAGAGGTTATGAGCATGTCAAAAGAACGTGTTTGTCACATATTGAATCAACATTTAGGCATGAGAATGCTGTCCGCACGTTGGGTGCCGCGTTTGCTCACGTTAGACCAAAAACGTGTTCGAATGAACATTTCCAATGCTCTGTTGACGCAATTAAGGCCCAATAAATCCGAGTTTTGGCGCCGATTAATTACTGTAGATGAAACTTGGATATACCATTATATGCCCGAAAGAAAAATACAGTCCAAACAATGGACTGAAAAGGGGCAACCAGCTAAAAAAAAGGAAACTGTTTTTTCGGCTGAGAAAGTGATGGGGATGGGCTTATGTTCATCCCCTCTTCATCGGCCCATCTTGTTATAATATTCAGGGTCTGCTGCTCGAGTCCCTTCACTATATTATTATATGAAAACCCCTTAATACGCGTATATCACGGTCAATAATGAATTCCGGTTTTTGCTTCTTATATGCACTTATATGTTCTTTCCTAAAGGAGAGATGGATTAAAAGGTTCATCACTACACACATCCCAAAGTCGCAAACTCTACTGAGGCATAATATGTATTTTTGGCTGACCAAACAAGTATGCAGAGGAGGGGTTGACAATATTATGAACCCAAGAAGGAAAGAAGGTACTTTAATATCTATTAATTTATTTACGGTTGTAGATGAAATTCAATTTTTTTTTACCTACTTCGTAACTGGCAACTAGTGACCTGGATAGCAATGAACTGAATGTTCTGAAAAACAAATTTTCTTGGCTAATCATAACTTTTACGACCAATAGTGGCTTGGGGCACTCCTTTCCGTTAGTGGTAAATTTACCTAATTAGTGATCGCCTACTCGGCAATGCTCGTTGCCGAGTAGGCATCATTCTTCTTCAAATGTTTACAAAATTATTCAAATGAAGTTCTTGAAAATAACGTTACCTCTTTGATTGGTTCGTCAGGGTTATAACTGTAAGCAGTGCTATCAGCTGTCAATAGAGGAAGAACTAGTGGATTTTCAGGATCTACTAACAAGCCTGTCCCTTGGTAAAGCAATGGGAATATTCCTTTCTTTGGACCAACGATAACAGGTGCATCAATTAAGTTTTCAGCTGAAACCACCAGTTTGGTATGTTGGCCTTCGTCACTTACGTCATAGTTCAAGTGGTCAATTACAAATGCTCTCTCTTCATCAACCTAGAATATTTTCAATGGGATTATAAATTTTTCAAATACAATTTTTTCATGTGCAGATTTATACGATTACAAATATTTCACTAGCAATTGGATATAAAAACATACTCATGTTTTACAATTTAATTGTCAATGTGTTTTTGACATTTGTCACCAACTTCAAGGCTACAATAAAAATAAATAAGAAAATATAACTTGTTATATTTTCCCAAAAAAACTTATGACCTGTTTTTATGGGTACTTACCAAAACTATATACTTGAGTATGTTTGTTATTCACATAAAACAAGATATTTTTACTGAAAATTTTCTAAAGAATGTAGATTTGTGTGAAAGATGTGAAGGTTATTATACAATTAAAAACAATAAATTAGAAGTGGACAATAACATATGATATCACATGTTCATTTATATGAAGAGGAGAAAGCTGAATCGCACCTTTGATGTGATTTAGTTTCATACATGATTACTTTATTGTTCATATTGAAATAATATAATAATATTGAACTTGAATATTATCAGAAGAATTATGAAATACAAATCAATTAACAGAATTCAGCTTATTGAAAGATAGAAGGGAAAAAACACCTCAAAAGTGCTGCTTTGTTCCCCCCTGTTCATAAAAGAGGACATATGCTTCCTCACTCACAAGAGATTTTGGTGAAATTGGGGACACGTGTGAATCGTTGTATTCATTCCACGTGCCACTATAAGGGTGTCTGCAATATGCTGTGTAATGCCCTTTGTAGGTAGCCCTACTGTGATTCGAAAGTGCATATAGATTGTAACGACAAGGAGCCACATTGTTTGCTGCATAATTGCTCATATCTAATCCTTCTAAAGAAAACTCAATGGCAACATTCAATTTGCCTCTGAATCTTTCCGTTGGAGAGAATCTTTTTAAATGAATTACTAAAATACGGGGAAACTTATGGATCGATAGGGACTTTGTGCATTTTCTTCTTTCCTTGCACCTCGAACAAGTTGGTTTTTCATCTCCATCCAGGGTTTCCTCTTTTGTGAAGAAATCCAAGCAGTGTGACAAACTCAATTGGTCAGTTCTTTGTGGTATAGGTAGAGACAAATCCCAGAAAGGATCGAAGGTTACTGATGAGGATTCACAGTGTTTGGATATAACAACATATTGTTATGTTATATACCCGAAATATGATTTTTCTGACACCAATAGGAGAAATATTAACACAGCCCCACACCTTTGATTTCAACTTGAAAACTATAGACAGAAAATGTTTTGACGAAGATATTATTGGAGACTGCTCACATTATTAGCGCTGAAACACATGTAAATTCATAATTAACAAATTGATAAATTTTTATGAACTTTTATCGCAGGATGGTATGAATTTATACCATTTATCCCATTATTCATGCCAACGGAGATTGGGAAAAAATTTGTTAGTTAACAATTGAATAACTTTTTGAAAAATGGTGATAAAACTTTTTTCTCTACGGGACTCGATTCATTCAAGTGTTAAGAAGATACTAGATTTTTTCAAATTTTTAAAATGACATTTTATGTTATAAAAAATTTATTTCTTTTGATAAAATTTGGCTTTCTACTACTCCATCTTGATACAAAAACTTTAACTGAAACTTATTTTAGAATTACTATAATGATTCCACTTTTGGGTGATTTCATTGATCAGTTTCAGTCGAGATTCCAAAATCATGAAGCCACATTATCATCTCATTTTAATTCCTTCTGTATGTTGCAAAGAACAAATCAATAGTAAATATCAAGAAAATTCCTTTGGGCTCTATAAAAAATATTCAGAATGGGTCTTTGTAAAAGCTGAATTTGACAAGTGGCGGATAAAATGGCTGGAAGAATCTGAACTAGACCGACCAACATGTGCTATAGAAACTCTTGGAGAATGCAACCAGTCCATATTTCCAAACATTCACAAACTTTTAAAGATCTTGGCAACACTGCATGTTTCCACATCTACCCCTGAGAAGACTTTCTCTTATCTTAAACGCCTCAAAACTTATTTAAGAAATTCCACAAGCCAGGAACGACTGAACGGTTTGGCGTTAATGTCAATACACCGTCACTGACAATACACTACAAAAACACACTTTTGTCTATTTTCCACGATATTTCTTTATTGTTGATTAGTTTCGGCTATTACACCATTTTCAAAACTAACTAATTACATTTAAATTTTAGATTAGATTTAAATGTAATCAGTTAGTTTTGCCGACACTAGTTAACAATAAAAAAATATTGTGGAAAATAGACAAAAGTGTGTTTTTGTAGTGTATCCTCAGTGAACATGAATTTCCACAAGATAAACAAGTCGTCAATCAAAGAAGTCAATACACCGTAGAATTGACATCGACACCGAGGAGGTAATTGATTTGTTAGCTTCAAAGAAAGCTAGAAAACCAAATTTGATTTTGCAAAAAGAATGTTTCTGGAAATGTTCAACAATTTATATTTTCATACTTATTTCTTTTGTGGCTCTAAAAATCGTAACAAACTTTGCCAAAACGGTCAAAAATTATTGGGTGTTTCATTGCCATTTGCCAGGAAATACTTCCAGTTCTTTGAAGTTTTCCAGGTTATTTTTTACCTCAAAACCACATTCTGAAGCAAGTTCTCTCAGTACATCTCCAGTTATGCTGCTCCCTGCAACCAGTACGTTACCTCCCTCATCGATGAATTGTGTAATACTCTCCACGTTTAGGCTACCACCAAATTCCTCAACAGAAGGTGCGAAAATAATTAAATTTTTATAAAGGTATTCACCATATCGGGATAAAACCAGAGAAGAATCATCAGCGATTTTGAAAGTAAGTGAATATCCTCTTTCTGAAACATAACATGTTTAGTTACCGGTTAACCAAAAATATATGATATACCTTGTAAGGATTTGAAAAATATTGAGTGGGTCTCTTTGATAACTTGATTATCCAATAAAACTAAGGTAGGACCTTGAGCATTACAAAATGCTAAATTCGCAAGTAACAAAAACGTGTATACTTTCATTTCGAAATTAATAATAAAGTTAAATCGATTCAAGTTTTTATTAAATACACGTAAGCATTGAATATTTAATCACCAATTGACTTTGACGTAAAACCACTAAAACGTCAAAACATAACGTGTCATAAATGTCAGAAGTGTTGTGAGTTTATTCACAGAACTAAAGATAATTATTAGTTCTTTGGTTTATTTCTCTTATCTATTGCTCATTCTGCATTGGGTTCACTCATTGGCCCATTTTATTGGTCCATTTATTACGTTTAGTTGGCTATTAATGCGCATTAAATTGAATAAACTTACCTGATATATTTTCTCAATCATCAGGGTTGCATTCACAAACTTACCCAGAGTATAATTAGGATGAGCCTAATTTGAATCGTTCATAAACTTCCCTAGTATTAAACAGTTATTCAAGACAATAATTATAATAATAGCTCTGAGGTTTTCATAGATATAGGAAAACATTTCTATCAATGAGAGCGCTATAAGTATGTTCAATAAACGACATGAACCGCATTTTTACGGGCAGCAACCATATGCGGCAATATCTGTTAAATTTTAATGATTTTACTGCCCGAGCAACAACTGCTATAAAGTTTGATTGTTCGAATTTTATGAGCAGCGCTGCGTTTGCTTTACTGTTTTATTTCTCATTTCAAAATGGAAGTCACATCTGATCACTGTTTATATTTGTCTTTGTGGAGATTTTGTAACACTATCCAGGATAACAATTATATAATTTTCACAATAAGTTTTATTTATGACGTGTTTCGCTATACTGTAGCTATATCAGATTCATTCATTTATCCAACTATAAAACAACAATTTCGTGAAACACCCTCACATCAGTGAGGATGTGCTTTGGGGAAAGGGGTAGCTTTCTCAAGAATGGAACAAATACGCAGTTAAGACCAATCAGAAGACTCTCTGGACTGCCAGCTTCTACAGAAGATTTTCTTCCATATTGTTTGGGATTTTACAAAAAGAAGAGTTTATATAGGCATACCAAACAATGTGAATCATCAGTAGTAAATGTGAAACAACAAAGCTCCCAAAGTGACGGACAAACTGCTTTATCATGGGAATATACTTATTTCAACTCTGGTTTTGGTTCAAGTGAACCAAAATCAGAAACATCTACGACAAACGGGACCTCCTTAATGTCAAAGTTGAAGTTGAGCCCCAACACCAGAAGACACTGTTAGGGCAGTATCACCGATGTCAGCGGTTCGAGCATAGCCAACGGAGTTGCCTAGCTATTCCCATCTGCGTCAAGTGCACCGGCAGGCACCTTTCAGGTGAGTGCAAGAAGCCACGAGCAGATCCTTCAAAATGCAATAACTGCAAGGGTGTGCATACTGCGAACTACCGTGGTTGTCCTGAGTTCCCAAGGTTCGCAGGAGGACCAAAGTAGCTGCAGATGCCCCCTGAAATGCAAACATACCTGTAAGGCGTCCTGCTGGAGCATCTGGCACAAGACCGGGTATGAGCTACGCAGGAGCGGCCAAGAGCGGTAACACCTCCGCCAGACCGACCGCGGCTCCCTCTAGTCCTCGTCCGTCGAAAGTTAATGACATCGGCTCCGCCCTGGACCAGATGAAGAAACTCTTCATTCAGTTTCCCGTATTCGAAAAAAATGTTTACGGTTTACACCGACGTGCTAACTGGAGCTTGTTAGTAGCTACACAACCTACATTGCCTAGCTCTCTTAAGGTCGTATTTTGGAATGTCAATAGTATTTCAAACAAAAAACATGACTTTGAGAACTTCCTGACAGAACATAACATCGATGTTGTACTTGTGCAGGAAACCCACCTGAACAATGCACCTTTTGGTATTCCAAACTACCGTTTTCACCATAGAGAACGCGTTGAACGTGTTGGAGGAGGAGTTGGCATTTTTGTCAAACGTAATCTTCCTCACGTACAATTCGGCATTGACTTGGACCAGTTACACGGCACGGAAGCCGTGGGCGTTGAACTCCAACTGAGAAAAGGTCGTCATAGAATAATCTCAGTTTACAATCCTCCGCAGAATCGTCTATTTCCAGAATCACTAGATGAACTGCTGATGTCGACAGATACCCCCACAATTGCTGCTGGTGACTTCAATGCCAAGCACAATCTGTGGAGCAGAATCACCAATGCAAACGACCGAGCGCTCCATGCGCATGTTAACAGGCATGAGTATCGAGTGATGGGTCTAGATGAACCTACGTTCTATTGTGGGGATAATAGACCTAACGTGCTAGATATCGCACTGTTCAGGAACGTCTCCATGTCCTGCAAAGTGTACACTTTGTCGGAACTTGACTTAGATCATAATCCAGTCATCCTTATGCTGGGCAATGATCCCCTCTTCAGGAATATCGCATGATATCATCCACGGATTGGGAAGCCTTCAAGGCCCACCTAGTGGAGACACGTACAGACCGTGAGGCGCTTCAAACTCGCAACGGTCTCGACGCGGCGGTGGCGGATTTTGAATTGTCTGTGAACAACGATTTCCGCGCAGCCACAACCAGGACAAAGTGTCCGCTGCGCAGATACAATGAGTTTCTTCCCAGGATTAGGAACCTTATCCGGGAGATAAATCGCCTCAGACGAGTTTATCAGCGGACTCTCTATCCTGGAGACAAGGCTGCGGCTAGCAGGATGGCCAACCAAGTTAAACAGGCCATCACTGACTATAGAAATTAAAGGTGAAGCGAGTGTTTGGAATCGCTTGAACCTGGGGATGATGAGCTATGGCGAGTCATCCGCAGGCTCGAGAAGAGAAAAACCGCTCCCTCCCCTCTTCACGGACAGCGCGGCATCTGCTACTCCCCCGCCGAGAAGGCGTTGGCCTTTGCAGATACAATGGAGAGTCAGTTTCAACTTAACGTTGATCCGGATGATGATATTGACCGTGATATCCAGCTGAAATACCGGATTCGGCGCATCCTTAGGAAAAACGATGACGACGTGATCCGTCCAGCTTCGGAGGAAAAACTAAAGGGGTACATTAGGGCCTCCAAACCCAAGAAGGCTCCGGGAATTGATTCAATCAACAACAAGTTGTTGAAGCAGCTCCCGGAGAACTTCATCAGATACTTGTTGGACATTATCAACAGCTCAATCACTCGAAGATGGAAGCATGCCGTAGTTGTCATGATTCCGAAACAGGGCTCGAACCCGCTGTTTCACCAGAATCATCGTGCGATTAGTCTGCTTTGTTCAACGGCTAAGTTGGCTGAATGTATTGTGCTGCAAAGGCTAACAGAAGAAGTTGAAGACCGAAATGTTCTGCCTGACGAACAATTCGTCTTCAGAAGGGCACACTCCACCGAGCTGCAGGCCCTGAGACTGGTCGAAAATTCCATCTCAGAGTTTAACAATAGGAAGACAGTCCATCTTGTCCTCTTGGGCATTTCGAAGGCCTTCGACCGAGTCTGGCACGAAAGCCTGTTACACAAAATGCTTGATTTTGATTTGCCCCGGGGCGCAGTCCGGTGGACTAGACCCTTCTTGAAACACAAAACATTTTAGGTTCGAGTCTCCTGTCAGAGAAATCCAAGCTGGAGTGCCTCAGGGAGCTGTGCTGTCTCCACTACTGTACAGTCTTTACGTGAGCGACCTTCCAAAGTTCGATTAAGTGAAGGTTTCTCTTTACGCCGATGATACGGCTCTCCTCGCCTCTTCCATGGATCAGGCTTTGGCGGTCGTCTACATGCAACGTACATTGGTACCTGGAATGGAAGATCCGGGTGAATCAAAAAAAAAACTCAGGCGATAGATTTGGGGAGACGTAACGTTTCTCCAGACACAAAAGGGTCACCATCTCAGGCAGGGAGATCGAATGGCAAACGCGAGTCAAATACCTAGATCTTTGGGTAGACCGCCGACTTACCTGGGCAAATTACATCGACTATATCAAGAGCAAAGTCCAATGGAGGATAGCCAAACTTTACAACACGATGTTCAAGCCTGTCATCATGTATGCTTCAGGCGCCTGGGGACAAACCGCTCCGTCAAATCTTTCCATTTTGGAAAAACTACAAAACAAACTTCTTAGGATGCTCTGGTGAATGTTCCATGGTTCGTGCGGAATGAAGCCATCCGCAAAGAGAGAGAGCTGTCAACCATACGACAGTCCATCCAGTCGAGGAATCAGAGAGTTTTCGAGTCAGCGGAAACAAATGATAACCCATTAGTTATATAGGGAAGCTGTAGATTATACTATAGACGACCCCTCCCGATACAGAAGGCCCCGCCGCTTGGTTGAGTGAAAGCCCCACGACGTCTGTTAAAATGAACAGTTTGTTCATCAAATACCCCAGTCAGGAAGGGGTACGCCAGGTCAGAGCGGCATAGAGGTCATTGATCTTTATGTCGTTACCAAAAACACCTTCAGTTATGAACCACTCATCCTCCTGATGAAAGTCAGATTGTATTAGATGAAGAGAGAGAAATCTAGGCAGATTTACCAATTATTTTCTCAGAGGTGATAGATACAAACCAAAAGATATTTTTCAAGACTTGTTGCTGCAAATAGAACTTTTTAGTTCTACCATTGTCCTTATCAGGACTTATAAAAGAATTCGTAACTTTCGGCGCCACGCCGCATCGAGGGACCAACTAGCCGGCCTTCTTGGACGTATTCGATCTACCCAGGTTCGAATACATCAGGGGGTACGCCGACCCAGCATTGGTATCTGGGGGCTTTAAACGTCCGTGCGCCTCCGGAGGCCGTTCTCTTCCCTTGGGCTAGGTAGGTCGAGTCGGGACAGTGTGTCGGCTAGGTGGTAGGGAATCCTCTGGTTCAGCCTAGTGCCATCGTGGTGGCCAGTTGTACCCCTGCGGCGCCTTCAGTTAGATAAAATATTAGGGTACTACGTATAGAAATATCGAATACTTTTGGACAACAAGTTTTGCCCTTGACTTTCGTGATTATGCAGGGAACGCGAGACGCTCAGGATCCCGAATTGAATCAAGGATGCAACGAAATAGATGAGTATAGATCCTCCAGCGGTCTAGCACCCGCCGGCTCTGATCTCCGTGCGACAAGCGGCCTAGGAGTGGAAGGTCTTCCACGACTCCACGCCCAGCCGCGTACTTCTTCGAGACTGCTCCAGGTACCGTCTTGGCGACATTGGAAATAAGATATCAAGTGACCGAATAAATTACGAGCAACAGACAACTGATTCCTATTCTTCCGCCATATATCAACATGTATGAAGAGTTGAGTCTCCTTTCTTGCGAAGAGACTTTTTTCACAAAACAAAAGAGTATCGGTTAAAACACCAGGGTTCCTACGCAACTTGCTCGTGACATTTGCAAATTGGCTGGAATATTTTGGAGAAAGAACTCTCTACAGTTGTGTTATATATGTATACATTGATTTATTTACACTTATTTTTTTAATTTGGAAAATTCTCTCAAACGAAACCATATAGAAGGACCACACTAATTGTTTTTTCAATTTTCCCAACTTCAAACTGGAATTGAGGTTTTTCAGATATTCAACTCGGAATAAAGTGATTTGTGAAGAAGGTCAGGTTGGGTGAGTCATAATGAAAAAAATAATTTGAAGTCAAAATTTTCAAATAACATAGAAAAAAGTTAAGATTTTTTTCTCTTCTCAGCCAAGGAAACCAAGTTCCAATTGTCATGAGATACTCGTGTTCAAGTCTAGGCCTGAGATCGTCTAAGCCTAAAGGCCTAAAGGGTTTTCGTTTTGCGGGCTTGTGAAAATTTAACTTTGATATAAAGATCACCCGCACATACAAAAGTTAAGAAATCAACTGAATTTTAGAACGAAAAAATATCGAATGGCAACACTGACTTTATTCTGTCCGATATGTTGATGGTTTAAGGTTATAATTCTATACCGAATTCCGAGGTTATATTAAAACGTAAAAGTATGAATCAAATATTAAATATTTTCAACAGAAATTTAAAACTTCCGTTCGCAAGGTCTCTAATAGTTTCGCGATATGTAAGTGCGTACATTCTATATGAATTTTTGCATTCATCATATCCAAAAAAATTGTTCATTTCAGGTTAATCAAACAAGATGCTGTTCCTCAAGTAGTGAACAAGTTACAGAAGCTTTAATATTGACAAACCTCAAAAATAAATTTCCCAGCGCCATTAGTATAAATGTCGAAGACACCTCAGGAGGCTGTGGAGCAATGTTCAATGTGGCTATTGAGACAGCTGAATTCAAAGGTTTATCAGTCATGAAGCAACATAGGATTGTGTATGACGCACTTAAAGATCAAATAACCAAAATACATGGTTTGCATTTGGAAACAAAGGCACCAAAATGATCAGAAGTTGCCCTGAAGAGAAGACTTCACTTTTATGTTGCATGATTGTTTCAATACCGAAGATTAGTTTTGATTTATCAAATTATTGAAATTTTTGTTATTTCTGTATTTTAAGTAATACAGGTTGCCTCTAGATGGTTTACATTTTAGGAAGTCATCCCTTTAACGGAGCATATTTTAAAATCAATGGGTGATAAAAATGGAGTGAATAGAATGATCACTTCAGAGAAAACTTAAAGCATGATTGAGCATATATTCTTACGGCAGGAACAAGTGACTTTCAACCAACTCTGTGGAAATTGATTGTAATTGGTCATTGCTAAGGTGAGAGGTTGAAAAAGGAAAAGTAAACCCAAACCGAGTTCATAACATCTAAACATTTCTTAAAAATATTTCTCAAAAGGAATATCCTCATTTTCAATCAGGGCATTTTCCAGCAATAATTAATAGCCACTGACCATATTTTATTCGATCACCAACACAGCAGGAATCAATTCAGAAATTGTGTTCAGACATAATACGGCCAATTACGTAACAAGAAGGCGTAATTATATGAGAAACTTGGCAATTCAACTTATAAAGGAACATCAAGAACGCCGACTGCAAAATATGAGGCTACCCAGAAATTTACGGGGGCAAGAATTTGCGCACCCTACAGCTAATTCAGATGAAACGCCAAAAAAGAGACGGTGTGACTTCTGTCCGCGTAATTCAGACAGAAAATCGAAGTATTTTTGTGTCAATTGCAAAAAAACAATTTTTTTGGAACACTCAAATTTTATGTGCAATAATTGCAAAGATGAAAAAAATGTCTAATGTTGATTGTTCCTATGTATTAATGATAATTAATTTTTTTACTTGTTCGGTTTCAACTTGATTTTTATTTACTTCAAGTATGTATTGAAACTAACGTTGTGTAATTGTTAAGTTTGAAATTACTTTTTATTTTCTTTGAGTTTGTTATAGTTTACCGATGCAGCAAAAATACTTTGACTTCAAAATTGACTGGGGTCCAATGGACCCAACCAGACTAATATTGTCCGATCGATTCACCAGACTTCCGGAAGCTTAAAGCAAGCCAAGTTTATCGAGTTTATTTATGAAATTTAACTTGATGTATGATGGCATGCTTAAGCAATGATTTTTATTTGGAATGCTCATTGTGTTGTCATCAATATATCTCTATAAAATTCTGGATAGAAATCCACAATGTTTTTTCGAAATGTTTCTAGTCCAATATCTCATAACCTAAATATTACACTATACAGGACATTAGAGAGTGCTATTTACAGTTGGGTGGTTAACATTTATAATTACAATAATCCCTTCTCTCAACTTTCGAACAGGGCAAGATATCCGCCTCAGACCAAATTTTTGTAACGAAGAATCAATTTTAGTATGCATTGATGAAAAATCCAAGAATCATATGATTTACCACGGAGAAGATGGGTCTTGTGACATTGTGTATGAAAGGTATTTCAATTCCTATATAATGACCTTCACTTTCTGAATCTTGATAATCAGTTGTGGAGTTTTTAATTTTCGAATTTGAGACTAGGAATTTCATTTGCGTATCGGCCGTGTGTCGTTCAAAACTTTTTGTAATCCGTTGAAAGATTACATTTTGATTCCGAGGAAAGAACAAACCAAGTACCTCGTAATTCTACAGAAAAATTCCGAAACGTGTTGTCATGGAACATCTTAACAATACCACAACAATATTATAAACGTAAGTTTTTGTATTCACGTTAACAATTACCATGGATGAAATTGAAGAAATTGAGGAACAAAATCAATTTTTTTTAGAAATATTGGGGGGCTCATGTACGAGTGTTGATTTACTGCCGAAAATAACTCAAAAGTGATTTCATCGGCCGCTGGCCGTTAAAAATCTTAACAGACGTTAAATCAAAGTAACAGTATGGGATTACAAAAACATTTTGTTTTGAAAGTAAAAAACAGTCTAATATGTGACTGAGGAGACTTATTTATTTTGTGGAAATTCATGGTCACTTACACACTTCTGTCTAATTTCCACTAGTTATTTTATTTTTATGACCGGTTTCAGGTTTTACCCCATTATCAAGAATAAAAGTAACGTGAAATCTGAAAACTAGGTTATATAGGGAGTTTTTAGCTAAGCTAAAAGATGAGGTAGTTAAATGAACAAGGGTGCCAACAATAAAATTCAACACTGAAGATTATAAGGGTTGTCAAACCTATGATAAGCTAAAAGATGAGGTACAAGGGTGCCAACAATAAAATTCAACACTGAAGATTATAAGGGTTGTCAAACCTATGTCAAACCAAATGTCCTTTAAGAACATTTTTAAACATACTATATTGTATTTGATTGAAGGACGAAACTGCAATAATATTAGTTACAAATACAAGTGGCAAAAACAGTAAGTTTTATTTTACATTTTTCATGATTGTCTCCTACCACATAGTAACGGCTCATCCATCAATTTAATGATTATTATAATTTCATGCTGTCTTCCTGCAAATTTTTGGAGCATTAGTTTTTTTGGAAGTATTAGATAAAAATTTGGAAGACTACAATGTTTCGTATAATTTCAAATATGTAGAGAAAAGCTGGATAATTTTTTTACTCGATCTGTCAATGTGGTTTCACATTTCTCATTGATGTTGCCTTTGCAGTTTTAAGAGTGATTAGAGAAAAAGATACCCAGTTCATTATCTTTTCTAAATAAAACAGATTCACACATATAAATAAACAAACTTGTATAGAGAATTATTGTTATTTAGATAAAAGGCCAAGATAAACTTCTGAAGAATATAATAAAGCAATAATTGAAATTATCAAATTGACTAGCAATATAAACTATAATTAGGTGCAGAATATACAAAAATATGAAAAAAGTTTTTTAATTTTGAATCTATACAACTTATTTTTTATCCAATTTCAAAAATCCTGATGTGTTTGAAAAATACTTAGCACTCAGTTCGTTCACTTTAACCTCGGCTGCTTGTGGATTGACAATTTCCAGTCCCTGGAAAAGAAAAATTTTAAAATTCATGTCATAAAACTATACAATACATAATGGAATTCGCCATTTCAAACGTTTATAAACTTACTTGGAGGGGAGTAAATGCGACACTAGAAGCAGTACCAGATATTTGTTTTTTCACAGTGGAACTTCCACCATAAATTTGCTGTTTTTGTAGATTTTTCTGTAGAGTTTTGGATATTCTAACTTTGGTTTTTTCGTCAACTTGGGGCAACCTTATCCTTCCAGTTCCTGCTTTGCCAATTGTTCCTCTTGAGTAGCCTAAGTCTTCTTGATAAGCATCATCTTCAATCTAAAATCAGAAATAATATGAGCTGGCATCATACCGTATATATTTATTTAACAAGTAACAACTTCACTATAGTGAATTCATAGCATGAATATATTTTGGGTTTTAACATTTAATTGTGGGTTCAATACAGCTGAGTTTGAAAATGTAGTAGATAATTTTATTCTGCAGGGTTTTTGGCTTCAGTGATCGGACGAGAACTGGCACTTTTCAACGTGGTATGGCATACATATACCAATGATACAGACCACTTTAGAGGTATTGCCTCTCATCAGTGCAGAAAAGATCTAATCTCGACTAACTTCAACGTAGCCCGACTGCTTGTATGAAACCTTCATCTAAAAGAAAGATATAATATTAACTAGTTACAGCTTCATCTCACGAACAAAGCCCTAAAATCAGGAAAGGAACATCCCATGTACTGAAACTCTTAACAGTAATTGAAATAAGTCTGAAGTCTATACCGTGAAGAGATACAGTCTTCAGACTCATTTTGATAGAAAAACACATTACTTATGTTTTTGTATCGAATATGAGATTTTGAGTTATCAAACAATCTAGTAACTTGGGAATTTCAGATTGCTTAATCACTGAACAATAGTTTTGAGTTTTTTTCTAGTTCTAGATTTATGGAACAGTGTTATGAAAATTTGCTTCACAAATGCAGGAAGGTTACCATAGACAAAAAACTATAATTTGTAAGGGTTCTGTAAGAGTATTTTGAAAATTGTAAAGGAATTCTATCTGGACCAACTGAAAACTTTCCTGGAGCTATCATAAGTTGGTTGATTATTTCTGTAACTTCAATATAGTAGTTGAAGATATGTGAACTGTCTGTAGACTTGTATTGTGGTATTTGAGTAACCTTCCATAAGTATAGGTAGGAGAAAAGTAAATTACAAAAACATTAACAATGGTATTGCAACTTATATCTTCTAGACACATGGTCAAGGGCAAGTTATATGATTTTTTTGTTTAAATTTGGAACAGCATTTTCGACTTTTTTAATATCAGCTTCATGGTAAGTTCTCAACATCTACTTTGGAGATCAGCAAATTTCTCAGCAATTCTTCATCAGTCTGTATTTTGAAAATTAAAACCAGGAGAAGAGGGATGGATGATATAAGCTGCAAGTGAATAGATTACATGCTTAGAAAAATATTGTCATACAAGTCCATTATACAGAAAACAGTAAAGGCCTGCAGAGCGAGGGTTTTGTCCTCTCTGTTATTGAATCTTATAATAAACCCATTCAAATCGACAATAGATGAAAAAGATGAAAAGATACAACTGTCGGAGAAAGTGATACTAGATCCTAGAGTGACCTGGACATAATGGGTATTCTATACACCCATGATAACATAATAACCTTCTTTGATTTGGTGGCCAAAGATGAAACAAGCTACTACTATTAACAAATTGAGCAGGGTGCAGAGATTTGTTTGTTTGAGGAATTAAAATCACACAAACAGCAACATTGTAAAAACCCTTAAATATGCCCAATTTACCTCTCCACTTCTTGTAATAAAAGGCATTTCAGAGTATGTGGAGAAACAAATATTAAACATATCCATGGAACACATAACAATGAAGCACACTTTAGACACAAACTTCACAGTTACAGTCACAAAAAATGAAAAGTGGATGATAAACAGTCTTCCCAGGAACATGCTGGTATACAGGCAGGTCCGAAACATCACATGAGATAGGAACAGGAATATACTGTGCGGGGGATATTTACATTACTGCTACCTTCTTGGTCAATATATATCCCTTTTCCAAGCAGAAGTGTATGCATACTCGCATTAAGCAAGGAAGATACATTTGAGGCCTCAATGAAAAGATTCTCACACTCCTGTCAGGCTGCACTCAGGGCATTGTGAATCTAAGAGTGAAATCGAGACTGGTCTGGAAATACCATGAAGAACTGCCCATCAGGCTGCAGTGTTTTCCGGAGTCTTGGATGAAATAGACAAGTCTGACGGCTCCCAAACAAACAAGTCAGACAATTCAAATGAATATTCAAAAAATATATTTGAGATTTTCAAAATAGCTCTTTAAAACCAGAAACAAAGGTTATATAAATGCCATAAAACGTAAATAGAAGTTGAAAAATGCTTTGATCATATATAAAATACATTAACTCTAATCAAGAGCTTGTTTCTATAATAATCAAAAGAATACTTTACAATAAGAATCAAACTTTTATAAAAATTACAGCTTATACCATTTCTACTATACTTACATCTGCGAAGTTTAGTCTATTGGCGTGCTTTCTAAATTCTGTTAGCGCATACCTCTCCTTCATTTTTCTTACTCTCTTTCCTCCCCTCTTCTTTTTTGACTGGTCTATAGGTTTGGGAAGGGGTTTGACAAATTTTACCGGTGGAGGTTCCTGAAGTTTGTCTAATTTTCGTTCAATTTCATCCCGTAGCTGCCTCCCTATTCTACCGTCAGCACTCTGATGGCAAGCATCAACTCGTCCTGCCAGGGTACATTTTGAGGCTACTAATCTCGCAGCCTTTCTTCTCAAATCCTACAATTTGCATAATGTTATTTTTCAATGAATTCACTATTTTCTCTGTTAATTGCATAATGGCTGTCTCTACTGATTTGCCCTTGGTAGGTAATGTACTATTTTACAATTATTCAGGAAATTCATTAAACAACCACACTATTCCATGTCAAATAATTCTGAAAGGGGTATTATATATCATTATATTTAGAAGATTACACAAGGGAACAAAATTCTATTTTTTTTAGTTGCTGTTGTTTACTAAATCGAGGTCAATGATTTCAAATCTATTCTCACTATTTTCCAATAGCTCCAGTTTTTAAGATACAGCTATATTGACCATCATTGTACTAGTTACATTTCACCATATTTATGTACTAATTACACTTAACTTTCATAAAACCATGTGAGCGGTCCTAAATTTCGATCATCCTTACTGTTGGGTTGGTAAACATTTGTCAGATTATATTTTGTATTATGAAATAGTGGGTTGGTGTGAATGTTTTAAATTGTCACTTATTAATCAGTTGTCAGTATGTAAATATGAATATAAAATAAAAACAAAACTACAACATAAAAGAACTTACAACAGGAACAATTTTTTCGAAATCTCAATAGATTACTATTCTATGAATTTTTGCTAAGACTGAATATCTCTCGAGTATATGGAGAATGCCAATGGTAGTCTTGTGAGCAAAGACGATTTTTTTTAGTTCAGGTAATATCGATGTATTTTTGGTATGAAGGTCCAATCTCCTCCACTCTCTCGCAGCGAATTCGGTTCACACCAATGAATTTTCAATGAAATGAGCTTGTAGAGTGAGGTGCCACGCAACACGTGGTCAGCGGGGTTGTTCTCAGTGGGTACGTGACGCCAATTCGCTGGTCACTTACCTCTTGAATGGCGGCAACACGATTTGCTACGAAATTTTGCAATAAGTTGATCGGCGTTGATATCCAACCTAAGACTACAGTAAAATCTGTCCAGTACGAAATAAGGCCTACCTTCAACTTTAACGAGTTTTTTAACTTATCAACTATTCGATACATTAGTAAGGAAGCAATGAGCTCTAAGCCTGGGATAGTTTGAACCTTCAGAGGCGCTACCTTGGATTTCGCGCAGGCTAAATTTACGAAGACCTCACGGCGCGAGTTGCACGATTTTATGAAGACGGACGCTCCGTATGCAGGCGCAGACGAATCCGAGAATCAGTGAATTTCTAGCGATACAAATAAACTTACTAGGTATAGAGTTCACTGAAATCGTTTAATTCATCCTGAAATCGCGACCAACGTGTGTTGGTTTGATGTCAAAAATTCATCCCAATAAATTTTTTCCATCCATATATCACGCATGATGATGGTTAATAGAATGGATGGGCTCAGTAGTCCCAAAGGATCGAAAATTTGAGATGATTCGGACAGAACCGTATAAACGTTTTGTAACCTTGCTAGAAGTTCCTACTGATATTTTGTAAAAAAAACAGTCATTTAAAGCGTTCCATATATTACCAAGAGTTTTCGCGTTTTCATTCAGGCCGAGATTTTTGGATACTAAGCGTTGTAAAATCTCCGAACTATTTAAAATTAATTTACGTAAGTGAAAACCTCCGGATTCAAGGACTTTGATAACCTTGTTAACAGTTTCAACTGTTTCTATTACTGTAGCACCCCCAGTTAACATGTCATCAACATAAAAATTATGTGTTTAATCACCTCAGCCGCGGCGGCAGCCCCACATTCAACCCCTAACTGAGAGACACCGTATGGCTAAGAAGGTAGCAGAGAAAGTGCCGTGACTGTCGTTAATTCGTAGTTATCTACTGGAATTTCGAGATTGTCGGGCCAAAGAATTCTTTGCAGTGATGTCACTCGCAACCACGAAATAGTGTTTCCTATAGAGTAGAAGAGTCGAGAACAAATCCAATTGATTAGTCAGTCCGACTAGCTGCAGGTCATTTAATGAATACCCACTTTGTAATGTATACGAATTCTAATGTGCGGTGGTTGCCCCCGGCGCTGCCATGATATCAGTAGTGTGCGCATGTCTCCCCATCACGACCCGAATAGTGAAGAAAATGCAGAGGCTTCTTGCATGCATTTACGATACAAATTTCGCAGTGATATAATGAATACATAGAAGTAATGTGTTTCATTTCGTACATTATTCACGGAATTTGAAGAAATGAAATTATTATCAATGACATCATCGATCATATCATCAGACTCCCGTTCTGAATCTATTTCGTTTAATGGAAATCTACTCAAAAAATCAACTATATTTTCACAGGTATTGACATATTTTATGTCGAAATCAATCGAATGAATGGCGATTATTTATTGATTCTTATAAACATAGCGTGAAATGTGTGCTTATGCATAACAGCAATAAGCTGGGTTCGTTTCTGATAGTACGCTTTTGTTATGCCGGGAAAATCAAATACCACGAACACAAGAGTGTCATATGTGTAGATCTAAAAGTGATGAATTTTCTGCTCGGACCAAGAGGCTATACAAAATATCCTTGTTTAATTAGTATGTGGGACAGCAGAGCTAATTCTCAGCATTGGGTTCAAAAAGACTGGCTTTCCAGGCAAGTTATGGTTCAGGGGAAACTGAATGTTATATATCAACCACTAGTATCTAAGGATCACATAATACTGCCACCTCTGCATATCAAAAAAATATGTTTTTCCGTTAATCAGCTGTTGCCCCCATACGAACAACTCTCAGAAGTTGAGAAACTTGTGCGAGCTAAGGACTAACAAGGTCTTACCTTTCAACGTGTGATTCCTAACACGGCTCAGGAAATAATTTGTCAAAGCTCTGAATAAGGAAAGTGATTTTTTTGAATACATTCTCTAAAAATATGAGTACAAAGACACTGAAAGCCAAGTTTTCAATGGTCCACAAATAAAAAGATCGATAAAGGGCGAAAACTTTATTAGTTATATGACTGAAATTGAAAAAAATACTTGGAATGCATTTGTTTTGCTTGCATAATATTTTCTGGGGAATAAAAAGGAGGAAAGCTATGCTGAGCACTTTGAAAAGATATTGTCGCACTTCCAGTAGCTTGATTGTAATATGAGTATCAAGGTACACTTCCTAGACAGCCATTCGGATCATTTCCCTGAAAATCTTGGTGATATGAGTGAAAAACGGGAACAGTTACATCAAGATATTTGAACTAAAGAGGAGAGGTACCAGGGTCACTGGGATGATCAAATCTCGTAAATAGTCCAGAGTCAGCCTAGGAAAATAAGGAAAATGTTGATATTCCAATGATATCCATCTTCCCCTTCTACTGAGATTTTCTCCGTCTATTATGTTCTGTAACGTATTTATCTGATAAAATCTTTCCAGAATCAGTTGGGGTATTCTGTATCGGCTCCTCTCATATCAATCACTGGGCGGTATTTGTTAATAATTGCTCCACCACAATAAGAAGAAAGTCCCTCAAATGATAAAGGTGATGAGTTGATATTGTAGCTGAGTACTTTGAAATTCTTGCTTTTATCCACTTCACAATAGGTCCATCCCATCTATGTATGCAATGGCTTTACGCTGTTCAGGATTGGGATTATATAATATATTTGTGAACTGATAACATGGAGTTGAATGTATTGTTCCAGGGTTGAACTGAAACCAATATTTTCTGGGATGAATCTTTGTGCAAGTGATCTTCTCACATTTGAAATTGCCATACTTGTGCATTGCCGTGAGGAATATTTGAAAATGACTTTCAAAAAGTCGTTGGAGAGCCCTTGTTATTTCTAATGACTATCGAGATATCAAAAGTTGAATTTATTTTACATATATATAAAAAAAAGCCGTCTAGTGACGATATTCAATGTTCCCACAAATATAGCAAGAGAAACAGAGGAGAAAAGAGGGCTATACCATGAATATGTGTCACAAAGTATATCAATTGAATCATCTTCTATATAACCATATCCATTGACTAACTTTCTCACAATGTATTGTTTTCATAATGTTATAAAGATTATTTTTTCATTCCTTGGATTATGACTTTATATGTCACCCTGTATGGTGTGCAATTATTGGCAAACGGTGCTGTGAAGACACAAGACCCATGAAAGAATTACTAAAGTGCATGCTTCAATTTCAGAGAGGTATGAAGTTTCAAAAGAACACGGCCTATTTCTTCCGTTTTACTACTAAATTCCCCATTTTGCCGACTTTGAGCAATTTTTTTTTCTCAAAAACTGTCCATTGTTTTTCATTGTGCCCATGGAGACTTTTGATCAGGACATTAAAAAGTTCATCATACCAAAAAATCAGCAAAATTCACCGAAAGCCATTTTCCATAAGGCTTGTGCATGATTTTTTGGAAATGTAAAAAATATTCAATAGGTATGATAATAACATTCAAAAAGTCAGGAAGAGGGAGAAAGACCTGTTTCAGCCATTCATGATATACCCCATCATCATGGGTGGCTGAAACAGGTCATTCTGTAACTAATTATGATGTTTATAATGTATTGTACTTGTACTTACTGGTGGAGTATTCTGAACAATATCAGAATAATAGATAAAACCTGTATGAGGCAACATTGTCGACTGAGAAAAACCAGAAAGAGATTTTTTCTCCTCTCCTAGAAGTAGTACATTACAGGCAGGAATTTTGGATAGCCTGGTCAAACCTCCAGCAACGCCCAAAATTTTAGCAGCTATCGAAGCACCAAGAATAACAGTTATGTTTGGAGCCATGAATGCCATTCGGCTTTCCACATACTCATATATCCTCAGTTTGAAATTGTTCAATTCCATTGCCATGTTACAGGCTTCATCAATTTGTTCTTTCTCAAACTTGGAAAGCAAGGTTCTGAAAAAGAAAAATAATGAAGGTAGGTATTGGTATGAAAATTATTTCTTTTCCATCTTTTGTACTATGTAGAGTTAGGGAAGTTTCCAAGCAATTTCCTCAAAAGGAGTTTTTTGTTTAAAAATGCTTGATGTTTTTTAAGAATCGGGTTGATTCTTAATTTTAGTAAGCTATTATTTGAATACGACTCAATCTTAAAAGAAACAGATGTGGTTGGAGTTGAAGTGAAAGTGAAAAATATCTGATACAACAGGAAGGCCGTGTTATTTTGGTCGGTCGGAAGCCGGGCGGTTTGACGTGGGTGCTTTGTTCATTCAGTCAATCGGCCGATGTGTGAGTCGATGGTTCAAGCCCCAGGCTGAATGCTCGATTTTCACTTTCTATCGTCCAACCCGTGTTAGGAATCACACGTTAAAAATTAAGACCTCATTAGTCCTTAGCTCGCACAAGTTTCGACTTCTCAGGGTTGTCGTTTGTAGGAGTGCGATAGCTGGTTAACGGAAAAAACATATTTTAAACATATTTTTTCAAACTTCATGCCTCTCGGAAATTGTAGCATGCGCTTTAGCAATTTGTTCATGGGTCTTGTGTCTTTACAGCACTTTTTATCAATAATTGCAGACCATACAGGGTGACGTATAAAGGCATAATCCTAAAAATGAATTTTTTTTTATAACATTATGAAAATAATAGATTGTGAGAAAGTTAGTCAATGGATATGGTTATATAGAAGATGATTCAGTTGATATATAGGGGTGATACAGGGGTCAATAATGGAAGTCAAATGTATTACAGAATATGTTAGAAAAAACGTGTCAAAAGATTGACTTATAGAATAACACTTTATAGAATTTCAATAAAACAAAAAATATACATTGAATAATTATTCAACAAAACACCATTAAAACAGTTTGTTGCACGAACTGAAGCGCATTCAGTCAATGATATGAGGTTCCCCCTCATTTCCATTTCGATTTCCTACATCAATAACGTAGTCCAACAAGTTTGTTGAACTTATGATGTACTGTTTGGAACCTTTGGTATAGTAATGAATATTACTGTAGTTTTTTCCCAACACCATCTCGTTATTTTTANTACTAGTTGATGGCTCCTTCATCATCTTCATAAGGCAAGATGTATTCATGATCACCACGAGGTTTATAGCTGAACAAAACAGCATTGCCTGGTACAGGATCATCAAAATGTTACTTTTAATATTGGAAATATTGTAGAGATTCATTTAAAACCTCCCAGCTTCATTTTAATTATTTTTGTGCATAATTTTCTCTGATAGACACTTCACAATCAATATTTTGACTGCAGGGATTCAATAGTTTATACTGATAACAGTTTTGGTGAGTAGTTTATGTCAGCTCCTTTTCAACTATTTCTTAAATCAACCTGTGGGTTATTGATATAATTATTTTTACCTTTTTCACATTTTCTATTTGGTTAATTGCACCATGAATTTTGATTATTTTTCAGAAGTAGGTAGGTTTAGGTCTAGATATGAATCTTGTTATAATTGTTTTATCAACAAGATTGTCAGAATATGATTAAATATATAGACAAAGTTGAAATCAATAGTCAACATTTTTGAATTCTAGTATAGAATGAATCTAACTTTGAAACACTTTTCAATAGAAGTGTTTCCAACCAAGTTGGATCATCATTTGTCAATTGGAATCTCTTACCCTTGTGTTGTAGAAGCAGTTACAGACACAACCATAATGGTTGCCTGAGTCAAAAACTGTTGCAATATTTCATTATTTTTGGCTTGATCCAAATCGTTTCCCAGTTCTTTCACTGTTCTTAGATATTCTAATGGACTAACAACTAAAGAATCAAGTTCCGGAAACCGTTTCTGGTATTTGTCTCGAACAAACTTATGTACAGTCACTAAAAATAAATAAATAAGTAATTCAAAATTTAAAATGAATTATAATTCATCAACTCACCAATTTCACTGTCTATTTCTTGAGCAAGATTGTTGGCTTCCACAATCAGTTGATACTCTCGGTCAGCTTTTACTGGCCCCACTATATCTACAGCTCTCCTAACATTGGTACCGAAACCTTCTATTTGGGACATAATACTGGTAAGCTTTTCTGAATCTCTCAACTTACAGAGTTCTCTGACTGAGTTTATCTGTGTGATATCTTGTTCCATAATAACATCATTTATATTTGGCATTTCTTCATTTTTCTCTACTTCAGTATCTTCATCCATTGTCTCTGTAAAATCATCATGATCGTTTTCTTCTAGATCAGCTAATAATTCGTCGGCCAGAGACATTCTTATAAAATATGCGAAAACCGCAGTTTACTAGCTACAGAAGTTAGGTTAGGTGGTAACAAATACTGTAAGTCAACAGAATAATGTGTCAAATCAGAACTGCCATTGCCAATAATCTAATCATTGAATCAGATCATGCAGGATTACAGAATTCTTCTTCTTGACTTTTGCGTTTGTCTTCTAACTCATTACCCAGGTTTCGACAAAATAGCCTGTATTTTGTCCTTCTTGTTTGATGGGGAGATTGTCGACCCTTTTGTCTCTTCCACAGCAGATTTGATATCCTTTTCCCTTTTTCTTTTTTTCCAGTTGTCTTTCAGTATTCGACTGATCGGTAAATTTTCGTTATGTGAACACCCGGCGATTTTGAAAAAATTTTTGACTGTACTTACGTATTTTGATGCGTAGATTACGAATCCGAAAGAAAAAAGCGGCGCTCTCCCTTATTTAAAAAGTTACGGCCCTT